AAAACAAGTTTCTATTAGCAATCGTATAATAAATTTATCATTCCTATTCGTAATTTTAGATGTTTCAATATCTCTTAAACAAAGCGTTTACGGACATATCTCCAGAGGAAAATTTTTTCTTGTTTTGAGGTCCTAAGTTCATATTTTAAGTTAGGACATTTAACCCTGAAACACCCTGTATATAGACAACACAATATATTACTTACTTGTCTTGTCTCCTTTCTCCTTTTTTCTCTCTTCTTTTCCTCTCTTCTTTTTCTATTAACCTTTATATAAGCCGTCAACCTTCAAACTGTCAATACACATGTATCGTATCGCACAAGCGAGACAGCCAATCAGCATCGCGGAAAAGCGGCAACAATACTTCGAGATATGCGACTAATCGACTTACATGCCTTTTTTAGATAGGGACAATTTGAATGTGCAGGGCCTCTATATTGTCCGGTTAGATGACAATGGTCGCGCACCCGAGTGTCGTCTGGCGTGAACGGTTTCTCGCATATGTGACAGTGCATAGCGCTATTAAATTTCTCATACTGTTCTTTCGAAAGTGTTTGCATGGGAACATTACTCGACAGAATATTCTTTACACGATATATGCTAATTCTTCTAGTTGGTCAGCGAACCATGCGATGCAATCCATGTCACGACGAAACTGATATGTTGATAGCGAGTCGTCGTATGAGCAGTGCAGGTAATAAGCGATACTAAATACTTCATGGTGCTGATATGTCTTCGGATTCGTATTCATCTTTTTCAGGATACACTCCAAGGTCGGCGTAGACGACAAACGGCACACGTTCTTTTCTACTGTGATTGTTAAAACTGAGCCACTTGTCCTCCTCGCTGGGTAATATGATCGCGCAGTCATTTAGCTGTTGACAGTCTACGCTGTGGGCTTGCAACTTGACGTTGGAGCTAAAGTAGTGCAAACATCTGGAAAGACAAACATTTTTATATATATTTTTTCAAATAAAACAATTTTTCACAAATTTTATTGATACTAACCGATCGCAAATGTGCTTTTTGTGCTCCTTCTTGCTGAGTTGAAAACTGACGAGGCGAGATAAATTGTTTATCCAGACGAAGTGACCCACGTCGGCACCCCCCTGATCTTGCAGGTATAATAGGTTCACGTGCTTCTCCTTCTTCTCGTCAGCAACTCGTAGCGGTACGATTGCGCGTTCACAATTGTTCTTTTCATCGATGCTGTATACATTGATGGAAATACTGTTCAATTGTTCAAACTTTTTGATACCACTTAATGTCATTGGCATTGGAATGTCTCGCAGGTTTAACACATCACTGTAATGCGGATACGACGACTCGCGCTCCGCGTGTCTTTCAGTTGGAATAGAGAGCAGCGACCACCGACCACGCGAAACATGCATTGTCCATGGATTGTACGTTGATCACCGCTTTCTTTCGTTTTACCACTTCTGGCATGTCTATATGGCATCCCGCGCGCATAGGATTGCATTTGTTCACGTTAATAGTCAAGTTGTGTATACGCGACAGCGCCCACCCGCTATCACGCTCCTGAAATTCTTCGAGTTCAGCAAGAGTCGGACCGATTACGCGCGACTCGTACCACTGTTGTAGGTCCGTTGCAATAAACAGTTCACAGTTTTTTGTGTTTATGCTTTTATTTGTGCGTTTGTCACCTGCCACAAACTCTCCGTTGAACGCGGTATTCGCCTTTACACAATTATAGCGTTCGATAGCGTCTCGCACGTGCTCGATCACGATATCGCGAGCGTCATCGAGAAATTTCCGCGGTTCAATGTACTCCGCGTTAATCACCACACCGGTAAGCACGCGGTTTTCGAACGCGGTGTCGATCTCGCGCCATGACAGTTGCACTCTCGAAGAAGGCCTTGCACCGCCACCCCCGAAATGTACGAATCGTCTTTCAACTTGGCACTTGACACTCTCGAGTCGCGCGATTCGAGCCACCAGCGATTGTCTGTTACCGATGGATAGCCTTGGACGCTTGACACGGCTGTGTTCCTCTAACTCTGCGATACATTCGTAGCATTGTTGCAGCCACCCCAAATAATCACCCAATGTGGTGATCCTGTGGGCTCGTTCCACCAGATCGTGCTCTCGTTGCTCCATGTTGTCGCGCTAGCGTCTTTTCAGACTTTATACTGTCCACAATGTTTTTCTTCTCGATCTCGTATGAAATCTCCTACTGTGGTGCAGCGGGCTTCCGCACGGATTATATATCATAAAAAAGTCACTGTCAGCAGCCAGGTTTCGGCGCTTGATCATACCATGAAAAATAATACGCGCAGCTGTGTCGGTGGTAATCAAAGGCATCTCCAGTGATATCTATTACATGCCGATGCAGTAGACGCGAGTTTAAACGTGGAACTTCCAGGCATCACACACCTAGACAAGAAAGTCGCTGTCAGCAGCCAGGTTTAGGCGCTTGACCTCATGACTCATGCCATGGATGCGCGCAGCTGTGTGTCTGCGCTAATTATTTGTATATCGTCATCTCCTGGTGATATCTATTACAAGCTAACGCAGTAGGTGCGAGTTTAAACGCGAAACTCTCTGACATCATGCACCTAGACAGTCAGGCAGGTTTCGGCGCTTGATCATACCATGAAAAATAATACGTGTAGCTGTGGTATCAGTGCTAATCATAGACATCCTCAGTGATATCTATTACATGCTGACGCAGTAGGTGCGAGTTTAAACGC